ATTACATAATGTGACAGAGATCGACCTCGGGCCATAAATCAATGCATTTTGTTTATGGTGTATAGCCTGATTAGAGTGTTAAGTTCAAATTGCATGTGGTCAGTGATCGCAGTTGTGTATTGAATATTGTCATTAGCAGACAGGCAGGCAGACACACAGGTGTCAAAATACAAGACATCGAGTTTTTGTCTGTGACAACGACATATCTATATCACAGTTAGAAATTCTGTCAACGCTAAATAATGACATTGCTTTTAAGTATCGAACTGAAAAGGTGACTCGGTAAGAAGAACGTGTGGTGAAATAGACAAATGAAATTATATAAAACAGTTAATTTACTGTCATAACATATAAAAAGCTCGCGCCTGTGAGTTATAAACAAAACATTAGAAAAATGGCTCACACCAAAACCTTCACCGAGGCCTTCACCGGACAACCCGCTTCCAAGTTGCGCGAACCTTTTCACTGAGCACGTGCTATGAGCGCGCAAGCCCAGCTGTTGGAACCACTTGAATTCCCACGAAACGCTGCGGGAAAATTAGTGAATCGTTTGAACTACGATTTCGCGCGTTTTTTTTCATCGCGTTATTTTTCAACTTTATAAGTTGAATTTGCAGTTTTGATGATTTGTTTCTGTAAGTCCATAACGAAAGGTATCAGAATCTGCAAAGTTGTGTTTTACGTTGCATGTGACCTTTAATATATTTGAGTACACACAGAGGCACATGTGTGAAAGACGAGTGCCAATGTAGTGTATATTATTATTTCAGTGTTTGATAATAACTGTCGCTATAACAAGAGACTGTTGCATTTAACAGACCTGTCGACTACTTGAGGACACAAAGTCTGCTCTGCCTCACTAAGTCGCAATGTAAACATTTTCATGGATAACAAATTCTTTATTGTCTTTGGTGGCCCAGGAGTGGCTACAGTAATATAAACCATGTAGTTCACTGTGACAGAATTACATCTCATCGGCACATCGGGAATCCTACCTGCTTCGCCGTGATACTGGTTATAGATTTGTCAAAACGATACCATGTAACCAGCACGTCGTCATGGTAACTATAGTACCCACCCTCAACTGAATCTTACTACAAACATTGCAATACAAGCACAAGGCTGTTTAACAATGTCTACAAACACTGCCACACTGATACCGGTTATAGATTTGTCAAAACGATACCATGTAACCAGCACGTCGTCATGGTAACTATAGTACCCACCCTCAACTGAATCTTACTACAAACATTGCAATACAAGCACAAGGATGTTTAACAATGTCTACAAACACTACCACACTGATACCGGTTATAGATTTGTCAAAACGATACCATGTTACCAGCACGTCGTCATGGTAACTATAGTATCCACCCTCAACTGAATCTTACTAGAAACATTGCAATACAAGCACAAGGCTGTTTAACAATGTCTACAAACACTGCCACACTGATACCGGTTATAGATTTGTCAAAACGATACCATGTAGCCAGCACGTCGTCATGGTAACTATAGTACCCACCCTCAACTGAATCTTACAAGAAACATTGCAATACAAGCACAAGGCTGTTTAACAATGTCTACAAACACTACAACACGCAACACACGAGAACAAAGCGAACCTTCACTTTTTGTTCAATAATATGTGCATGGTTTTATAGTAAAACTCTGGGTCAGAATAATCTCCATGTCCAGTGATATATACTTAGCAAGGTTAAAGAATATTTTAAGAAGTCATGAAAACAAAAGCATGTTTGAAATATTTTCACCACCTTAAATTATAGATTGCAGTTTCAAATTAAACGTACATGCCTCTTCTAAGTCTTATTACACCTAAACGGGCACAGACCGTTGAATCACCACCGTATGCATCACATGACATATATGAAGTGAACAATTAACACTTTCAACTTTGTGAGGGGAAGGCAGTAAATGGAGATGGCATTTGTGTGTTGTTTTGCGCCGAATGCATTGACGCTCCAGGTATAGGAGGGCGGCCTGTAGATACTCGAGTCTAGACCAATGATTGATAGCATGAGCGAGATCTCGGGGAATCAATCGAGACACACAATCCGATCCTCTTAAAAGCCACAAACAAGAGATGCGGAAGGACTGTGTTTCCGAGAATCCTACAGAGAGAAAACAATATATTGTTCTAAGGTTAACACATATATTATACTGACTGAAGACATACTATGTCACAATCAAAACACCCAACTATTTAAGGTAGGGGTGGCCGTGTGGTTAAGTGTTCGCCCATCATGCTGAAGACTGGAGTTCGATTGGAAATATGTTTACAATGTGTGAACCCTTTCATATCAGCTGCACATGCAGTGCGTTCAACAAATTTACCCAGGGCATATTTAAGGTGCCCACTTTAACTTTTGCCTTAAAAAAGTCATATACATGTACTTTGAAAAAAATGGGCCTGATGTCAGAGGTGAATTTCATTGTCTCATGTACCGTGTTAATAAAAACGATTGGCCATGCTTGATGTGACGTCCCAACTGCACGTGCTCCCCTCCCTTGAGGCTGTTCCTGCAACAGTACCACTGTTACTTTACCCTCCTAAAACTTCAAAGAAAAAAATGATAGTTTGTAAAGTAGCTATTCTATTTTGAGACAAACGTTATAAATTTTTTTGCATAGTTGTTCTGATGTTTTCATCACACACTGCTTTGAAATGAATGTTTGATCATGGACCGATTTGGGTGTTAGATTGTGATTCATCGGTATCATTTGACCCAAACAGACAAGCAGTACTAACACACAATTACTTACTCAGTATCTGGCTTTGTGTAATCATCACAAACTACGTGATCTAGACAGTCTGTAGACTTCTATATTTTGTGGAATCCGCAGTCATTAGATGAATGACTCTGAGAGTGTGAGTTTTCCGTCCATTTGAGGACATGGAAATAATCGGGATCAGTTAAAGAGACTGACATGTGAATGCCTTTTTAGTGTGCAGCTAGCAGGTGGGATGGCATAATAAGACGGTAAGAGTTGCTTCCCTTACACCATACCACGAAACAAGTACCTTCATGGTCTAAGTCAGCTTCATTATTGATTCGATACATTTTCGTACACTTTTTGTCCGACTTCCATTTTTTGTTGAAGCCGCGAAATTAAGAATGTTATAAATTTTAGAGCTAGCCATTAGGTGATTGACTCTGAGAATGTGGCTTGGAATCTCGGATCGTACTCCACAAAATATTAGAATCTTTTCTCTACTGAGAAAGTGTAATCGTTAGACAACACTTTCTGAATGGCATTGTGTATTCAAACTGTGTTTCTGTAATTTTCTGTTGAAGAGGAAACAGACTGAAACTATTTCTTTTTGCTTTTAAAGTAATCACAAAATCAGATACCTAACACTCGATATTTACATATATCTTGGTTAGCTATAGACATCATCAGGCAGTGTAGTTATCAGCTTGTGTAGCTTAGTAAGATGGGAAAGTTGCATGACTCTACCATACAGCCCAACAGGTGCCCATTTTAAGGGAACAAAACAAGAGGTTAGAACAAAGTCCTTCATATCATCAGGGATAGCAGGGTAACCTCGTGGTTAAAGCGTTGGGTCATCACGAAGAAGACCTGGGTTCGATTACTCAGATAGTACAATGTGTTATGCCAGTTTCTGGTATCTTCCTGCCGTGATATGGCTGAATATTGATAAATCATTTTACTTATTGATCTTTTGAGTTAGCGTACAAAAACTAAAGTTAGCCATTGCTTCAAACTCAGGCACAACATGTACGGAGTTTATTGATAGTAACCACAAATATGTTCACTTACCAGGGGCGTAGCTACCATTATAGAAAAGCCCGGGCTTACACATAATTGTGCTAAAAAAGGTTGGTCAAGCGCTCGTATACTATCAAAGTGTAAAGCCTTGCAACCTATCGGGCTTACAGGAAAAAATGGCTTTCTACGGGCTTGCTAAAGTCAAATGATCATTGAAAATGTAAGTGTTTATCAACAATGTGCATATTCATAACAAACAGAATGAATTTGTTTCAAACTGTTGAAGTACAAGTGACGACGACACTTCCATCACATGTGTTTCCTTCTTACATTATAAAAATAAATCTGCAAGTTATATACTAGTATTTATGATGCTCATTCAATGCTGTGAAACCTCATTCATTATCTTAGTCTGTAGCCATTCATATCAGGGTCCAATCTCCCTCTTCACCGCCCTAGTGAATCCAGGAAGAAAAGGTGAGGTGACGTGACATGCACTCGATATCTACTTGGTTTTATGTGTAATATAACGCTAATAATGACATGCTTTAGTCACATTATTACAGAGAGATATGTAGAGAGTCTGTGAAGACAAATTAAGCTACTAATTCAGCCGTTGTGTTGGTTCAGCTTCACATTCGTGTCGAACACCCGGGCGCGTATTGTTCTGTCTACTATCGTTATGTACACTTGATCCACTTCTCTAACCTCACGTACGTGTGTTGTCATATAGATACACTGACTCCAGAGATATAACCCTTAACTCTATCATACCTACATGTGTATACATAGAACTCATTTTTGAGAAAATTAATCATATGTATTGAAATATTTTCTGGTTTGTTTTCGCTCAAAGCTATTGATAAAATTCTACTTTCGTTATGCAAATGAGAACCCAAAAGTAGGTCAGCTAACTATCAGCGCGGCGATACACGACGGCCACAGAATGAAGAGGACTTTGACCATCAATTCCCTATGATATTAATTCAGGAATTTTGTTTATTGATGCATCCATCCAACAAATCCTAATTGAGTACATAAAGGCTATTGCTATAGTATGCTATTTTTAATTTAATTGAGTATTGTTGGATCTAAGTGTTCATAAGTATACACTAAATGCAAATTAGTGAAGAAATACAATAGATCTAAAAAATGTAAACGTGTTCTTTATGTTAATTCTACTTGATCCATCTTGCAGCATGTATTCTCTTAATTTATATTACTTCCAATTTTGAATAGACCATTGACCATCGGTCTGTTTGTAGATGGCTACGTCCCGGAAACTGGAGGAACATTTCCTCACATGCATCATATGCACAGAGGTGTTTGACAACCTATTCACGCTTATGTGTTATCACACATTCTGTCGGAAATGTGTCGTCAACTACACCAAAACCAAACCAGAAGCCATCAGTTCCAAGTCTCTTCTGTGTCAATTCTGCAGCAAGATGACGAAAGTGTCTGAGCCTGACAGACCAGTGGAGGAATGGGCGGATGACGTCAAGCCAAGTTTTGTCATCCAGGGACTGTTGGACTCCTTTGGTCCGGGATCTAGAGGTGAGGTTTGGGTGGTTTATTTCACATCCCCACCACGTTAGTATATGCGGCATGAACAGTATCGTCTGTTGATTTTAAAGAGTAATCTTCAAAAAATATATGCTAGAGACAATGATGTTTTGGGAAAGATTGTTTGTCATCAGATTTTGAAGAAAACTCTCCTTGCTCTCCTGAAAAGCAATTACATTTTTTATTGCAGGGGCCTATATTATAATCTGGTATTCAAGCCAACCAATCCTAGAATATTTAATAGTGGATCAGCCACATATCTTGACATGTTTTATATGGTACTTGAAGTATGATGACAAAAAGTAAACTTTCCTCTCTATATGAACTCCTTTGTTCTTGTAATTTGGAAATTGCCAATTAGATCCTAAATGTTTCTTGTATGTTTTTCCCTCAAGATACAACAAACTGCACCTGCTGTCATGCAGAAGGGGAGACAACTCCTGCATCTGTCTGGTGCTCAGTGTGTGACGAATCCCTGTGTGACCGATGTTCTAGAATGCACAAACGTTTCCCATCCACTCGTCATCATGACGTAATTGACCTTTCTGGCGAGGTCAATATTCCCCGGAAGCGAAAAGTCATGTGTAGTGAACACAAGGACGAATGCGTGAAATTCCTGTGCAAAGATTGCAAGAAAGTCATCTGTCACACCTGTTGTGTCATCTATCACAGAAAATGCGAGTCGGTTGTAATACTAGAGTCGGAATTGCCTGCTTTAAAATCGAAACTGCGAAATGACAAGGAAAATATACGACAGAAACAATATCTTATTGAAAAGAAAGTCGATACAGTTAAATCAAATGTCATGACTGAGAAAGATCGATATGTCCAAATGGAATCGAAGATCAAGTCTTCCAGAAGAAGGGCGAGGGAAACAATCACTCTTAAGGAAAATAAACTTTTTGATCAACTGAAAGAAATCTCAGAAAGGCACATTGAACAGTTGAACACCGACATTAAGTCAGGGGAAATATCGGTACAGATGTACTGACAACAGGCTGAACTGATTGACCAGACTCTACAATCTGAATGTGACATGGATGTGTATGAGATGTACCAGGGATGTGATGCTGGTGATGTGGAGGATGTCGGACACACAGACTTGAAGGAGAAGGGAAGAATAGCCAGGATCACGTTCAGACAGGACTCGGACAAGCTGAGTAGAGCAGTGGACGATCTACAGCTGGGTGAGATAGACGTTCTGTATGAGGGTGTGTTGGACCTGGCGGCTACACCTGTGTTACGAGACACGGTCAACGTCACTGAAGCAGGGGATCAGAGTGATGCATTGCCTCTTGACGTGACAGCGCTAGTGATACATGATACACATACAGTTGTAACCACAGATAATATCAACATGAGTGTGAAGTCTTTCTATACCAGAGATAATCAGTCATGCCATAGCAAGCTCAGCCTGGATAGCTACCCGTGGGGTCTGACAAAGTTACAACACAATCAAGTGGCTGTCACTGTAGAGAATAAAACAATCATAACGGTTGAAGTCAACCCTGGCCTGGTGCTGCTGTCAACCATCACAACAAACAAACATTACTATGGTATAACATCTCTGACCTCATCAACACTTGCAGCAGGTTCCAAGTCTCCTCCCTGTGTGGATATTCTGGACATGACAGTAAACGCACTGAGGTCAGTCAGCCCACTCTCTAGTGGAACGAAGATCCTGCAGAGGCCTCTCTTTCTTTGCACCACAAGAACAGGAAATATTCTTGTGTCCGACTATGGTTCATAGCGTGTCTTGTGTCTGACATTTGAAGGGGACGTTGTGTTCATCTACTCCCCGACAGGACGCACAACACAGGTGCTTCCTGTGGGCATCACAAGTACCAGCACAGGTGACATTGTGGTTGCTGTCAACTCTCAGAATAATGTGGTTCATCTGACCGAGTCAGGCCAGTTTGTTAGGAACTTACTTACAGCAAGTGACGGTGTCGATCATCCTTTTGGTGTTTGTGCAGGTGGACGTGGCCATGTGTATGTTTGTAATTTCTACTTAGGTAACATCAAAGTATTCACATGTAGTAACACAGAATAGATAACTGATTCATACCCAAACCATATTCCACCTGATACTGTGAAGATTAATACACTACAATGTTTGATAGGTGCACATGGATCATAAGTGTACCGTAGACATGTACACATACTCTTCTTTTACACAGGATGTTCCAAGCCAGTACAGTTTCTTCTCTGCTTGTCAACAACACAAGTACGCAGTCAACATCCAGTTATTAACTTATTAACTACTGATATTATGTGCCAGACGTCTGCACTTTCTGGCACTGAAATGTTTGAAAATATAAGTCTAATTGCACATGTATGTTTGGACACAGAACAAATGTATAATATTAATTGACGTATATCAACTTAAAAAGATTGGTTGAAAGTTTTGATTTTAGTGCACTCTGTTGGTATGTGTTTAAATCTAAATTAGAATTTATTAAATTCCTGTAATCCATAGTAAATGAAGATGGAGTACTATTCATGTTGATAAATAAATTACGAGAGTCAAAACACATCTCTTGCTGGTTGAAGATGGAGATGAGAAAAAAATGCAACGATTCTCTGAACTGTTTGAAGATACTTTATACATGTATACAGATTAGACAAAACTGTCCTGAGATAAGCAATAGCAATCATTAAGGGCTACATAAACATGGAACGAGAGCTAATGTTATGCACTATACTATGCATGAGTTCCTAAAGACAAAGAACACTTATGGAACTACCTAAATGGACAAATCAGAAGACTACTAGCGCCACATGTCACCGCTGAACAACTGGGCCAATGTCTCCTACAGAAATGGCAATGGACCACGCCTAACGTCATTCGTCGTCTTACGTCATCAATGGGTCGACGTGGAGAGAGAGAGAGAGAGAGAGAGAGAGAGAGAGAGAGAGAGAGAGAGAGAGAGAGAGAGAGAGAGAGAGAGGGGGAGAGAGGTTTATCTATGTAGCGGTACAAAAGCAGTCTTTGTACACAAATATAAGGTGTTACGACGGTTTGATCACTATGTAGCAGGGCACATTTGTGTATACAAAGATATACACAAGAGGTACTTGAGTATATCTATTAAGAGCAAGTGGCGGATCAGAGTTATTCCAATGTTACCGGGCACTTTAACTGTCACAACAAAAAGGATTGGCACATTTAACAGACCAATCACCTTCTTGAGTAAATGTGTGAAGTAGACTTGCCAGTACCTTAAGGGAGGGAGGAGGGAGGGAGGGAGAGAGAGAGAGAGAGAGAGATGGGGTGGGTGGGAGGGAGGGAAACTCAGTGTATATAGAATCATCTACATAATGTCTTGTAAGGAAGGTATCTCTATTTAGCCGTACAAAAGTAGTCTGTGTACACAAAATAAGGTGTTACTACGGATGTAGCAAACTTCGAGCAATATGACGGGCGGGGACACCAGAAATGGTCATCACACATTGTTGCTGTTAAGTGAATCGAACCCGGGTCTTCAGCGTGACAAGCAATTGCTTTCATCACTATGTACCAGGGCACATTTGTGTATACAAAGATACCAAGGTACTTTTGTGTATATAAATGTACCGGGATGCCTTTGTGTAAATAAATATACTTTGTGTATATTTGTGTACACAGAAGTTCCTGGATATATTTGAGTATACAGAGAAGTACTTGAATATATCTATTAAGAGCAAGTGGCGGAGCAGAGGTATTCCAATGCTACAGGGCACTTTAACTGTCACAACGAAAAGGATTGGCACATTTAACAGACCAATCACCTTCTTGAGTAAATGTGTGAAATACACGTGCCGGTACCTTAATATATTTGAGCATACACAGGGGTACTTGGGTACATGTGTAAAGTAGACGTGCTGGTACCTTAATATGTTTGAGTAAACACAGAGGTACTTGGGTATATGTGTAAAGTACATGTGCCGGTACCTTAATATATTTGAGTAAACACAGAGGTACTTGGGTATATGTGTAAAGTACACGTGCCGGTACGTTGATATATTTGAGTAAACACAGAGGTACTTGGGTACATGTGTAAAGTACACGTGCTGGTACCTTAATATATTTGATTATACACAGATGTACTTTAGTATCTGTGTAAAGAACACGTGTCGGTACCTTAATATATTTGAGTTGACACAGAGGTACTTGAATACATGTGGACCCCTGAAGATCCGGGGTAGAATAGGTCTTCGGTAACCCATTCTTGTCATAAAGGCGACTATGCTTGTCGTAAAAGGCGGCTAACTGGATCGGGTGGTCAGGCTCGCTGACTTGGTTGAAACATGTCATCGGTTCCAATTGGCACAGATCGATGCTCATGCTGTTGATCACTGGATTGTCTGGTCCAGTCTCGATTATTTACAGACCGCCTCCATATAGCTGGAATATTGCTGAGTGCGGCGTAAAACTAAACTCACTCACTCACTCACTCACTTGTATACATGTGTGAAAGACGAGTGCCAATGTAGTGTTTGTTATTTCAGTATGACGATAATAGCTGTCACTATCATAAGAGACTGGTGCATTTAACAGACCAGTCGACTACTTGAGGACACAAAGTCTGCTCTGCCTCACTAAGTCGCAATGTAAACATGTTCATGGATAACAACTTCTTTATTGTCTGTGGTGGCCCAGGAGAGGCGACAGTAATATACACCATGTAGTTCACTGTGACAGAATTACATCTCATCGGCACATCTGGAATCCAATCCTGGCTTTGCCGTGATACTTATTATAGATTTGTCAAAACGATACCATGTAACCAGCACGTCGTCATGGTAACTATAGTACCCACCCTCAACTGAATCTTACAAGAAATATTGCAATACAAGCACAAGGCTGTTTAACAATGTCTACAAACACTACAACACGTAACACACGAGAACAAAGCGAACCTTCACTTTTTGTTCAATAATATGTGCAGTGTTTTATAGTAAATCTCTGGGTCAGAATAATCTCCATGTCCAGTCATATATACTTACGAAGGTTAAGGAATATTTTAAGAAGTCATGAAAACAAAAGCATGTTTGAAATACTTTCACCACCTTAAATTATAGGTTGCAGTTTCAAATTAAACGTACATGCCTCTTCTAAGTCTTATTACAACTAAACGGGCACAGACTGTTGAATCACCACCGTATGCATCACATGACATATATAAAGTGAACAATTAACATTTTCAACTTTGTGAGGGGAAGGCAGTAAATGGCGATGGCATTTGTGTGTTGTTTTGCGCCGAATGCATTGACGCTCCAGGTATAGGAGGGCGGCCTGTAGATACTCGAGTCTAGACCAATGATTGATAGCATGAGCGAGATCTCGGGGAAATCAATCCGAGACACACAATCCGATCCTCTTAAAAGCCACAAACAAGAGATGCGGAAGGACTGTGTTTCCGAGAATCATACAGAGAGAAAACAATATATTGTTCTAAGGTTAACACATATATTTTACTGACTGTAAACATACTATGTCACAATCAAAACACCCAACTATTTAAGGTAGGGGTGGCCGTGTGGTTAAGTGTTCGCCCATCATGCTGAAGACTGGAATTCGATTGGAAATATGTTTACAATGTGTGAACCCTTTCATATCAGCTGCACATGCAGTGCGTTCAACAAATTTACCCAGGGCATATTTAAGGCGCCCCCTTTCACTTTCGCCTTAAATAAATCATAAATTTTGAAAAAAATGGGCCTGATGTCAGAGGTGAATTTCATTGTCTCATGTACCGTGTTAATAAAACGATTGGCTATGCTTGATGTGACGTCACAACTGAACGTGCTCCCCCCGCCCTCCTTGAGGCTGTTCTTGCAACAGTACCACTGTTACCCTCCTAAAACTTCAAACAAAATAATGATAGTTTGTAAAGTAACTTTGTTTATTTTGAGTCAAACGTTATGAAAATTTTTGCATAGTTGTTCTGATGTTTTCCTCACACACTGCGTTGAAATGAATGTTTGATCATGAACCGATATGGTGTTAGATTGTGATTCATCGGTATCATTTGACCCAAACAGACAAGCAGTACTAACACACAATCACTTACTCAGTATCTTTGTGTCATCATCCCAAACTACGTGATCTAGACAGTCTGCAGACTCCAATATTTTGTGGGAGTGAGTGAGTGAGTTATTATTTAACGTCACATCGGCAATATTTCAGCCATATCGTGACGAGAACATTTGACATTGTAATAGAATATATATAGTTATTATAAA